AAATTATAGATGAAAATGCAGTAAAGAATAAATGCTTGCCATTGTAAAGGGGACTTGACTTCGTATGGACTTATTGCATCTGACGACTTTCAGCAGTTTTGATGCTCACTTGGGCAAGATATTCCCCTTCTTATCTGGTGTGAACACAAAGTCTTTTGAATTGATCCAATCTTGGACCATGTCTCTGGATGACATACCGCTCTCACTTGAATGGCCAAGTGCCCCATAGTGATGCTCACATCTAGCATTGGGATCAAATCCCACAGGATAAGGAGAGATGACAGGATCCCACTATTTGGTTTCTCCCAATGAAAGTTTGAGCAATTAAGGGAACAACTGATTATGAGTCACAAAGATTGTGACAAACCCCCTTGTTGGCTTCCTGTACCTATGCCTACCCTATTGTGGATGATTTTGTTAATGGTTTTGTCGCGGCGATGCATACTGCATTATCTGAGCGCGGGGATAATATCGTTCCTGATTTAACCTTTGGTTCTTAGGACATGGGCTAAGAAAAGACTGTTGGAAAGGAACCTCCGGGAGTATAGGTTGTGGAAGAGGTGACCCAAGACATGAGATATGAATTTGAGGACGAGAAGAAGAAATTATCTCCTATGCTGCAGTTGGAACCGGATTGATTTGTATGTTCAAACCATCTGGAGTAAACACAAATTTCTTTCCATCAAGCAGGTCCTGGACTTTGTACTTTAATGCCTTGCAGTTCTCAACTTTGTGACCAGGGGCCCCGGAATGGAAATCACACTTAGCATTAACATCATACTCAGGTGGAAGCTTTACAGGAGTAGCAAAAGTACGAAGCTTAATCAACTGGAGGTCAAGAAAACGAGGAAGAAATTGAGCATACAACATTGGGATTGGATCAAATTTCTTCTCAGGCTGCTTCTGCCTTTGATGATAAACCTTGCCCTTTGAGTTCATTTAGGGAACATAAACTGGGTACTGGCGAGAAGACCCCAGAACACAAGGTTGTGGAAGAGACCCACAAATTACTCCATAACTTGAAGGAGGTCCCAAAGGATGGAGAGAAATAACAACTATCGTTGCAGTAGCAGGTATAGAATTGTCCTATTTTCTCAACATTGTCTCCAAAATTTCCATAACCAAACTCAACTGAGTCTTCAACTGGCCGTTTTCCTCTTTCAGAAATTCCTGACCACGGGCCAGGGTATGATTCTTGATGCTTTAGAAAGATGACGTTACAAGCTTTACAATGGAAAAATAATGAAATCAAATGGATGCTTGAGCTGAAAGTTGCATTGAGTCAAAGTTGGAGAAAAAGGATTGACTTTCCATACTTAGAAATATTTCAAATTTTTCTTCAAAAGTGACCTATAATGTTTTGCATCCAAACATGGCCTTCCACTTGGAATTTGCTCTTGACCAAAAAATATGGCATGAAATAGACCTCTTAAATGACACTTTGAAACTTGAACCATTCAAAATCTCCAAAAATTGAGAGTTATGAATTGTTGAAGTTGGCAAAAAATCATGAAATGACCTATAATCTTTTGTATCCTTAGGGCATATTCCATCCATTTTCTCACTTTGCATATAAAAGAAGAAATAAAGTTCAAATCCTCAAGATAATTATGGAAAAAGAGTGGGCTCAAGGTGATAACAATTGACCAAGTTATGATCATTTGAAGTCACACATGAGAAATTGGGGGTTCATCTGGAGGAGTTGTAATCTTTCTTCATCATCAAGTTTCTTCCACATGAAAACTCCTTGAAACTTTTGAAGTGATTTGTTAATAAACCTTTGAAGAGAAGTATGTATTTGTAATCACTCAAAAATACCAAAAGATGATCAAGATATACTTCTTTGAAGTTCAAAACCCTAGCTCCTAGATCAAGAAAATGCTTTGAGGAACCTTGACAATTTTGAACCACCTTCTAGTACCAACAGTCTTTATTTGTAAATAGAAGTTATTGAGGATGAAAATGAGAATTCATATCCACAAAAACCACTTCCATATCTTGAGAATTTAGAGAAATATGCACTTGTGACAAATGGGAACAAGGCCTTGTCCAACCATGACAACTTCTTCAATCAACCCCTTGCACTTTTGAATCAATCTTCATAACTTGGAAATGTAGTGAACAAAAATAACCTTGCCATGTCATCCCTTCAAAAACAACTTCAATGGTGAGGTTTGGACTTCTCAAGCTTTATTGACTAGGGTATGAAAATAAACTCATGAACCCATAGAGCAACTTGCTAAGCCTTATTGCCCTTACCTACATTATTAATAAGTAAGACAAACCAACATTGCATTTTATTAATTAAAAGGAAAATCGAGACAAAATATTCATGATCACAAAAGAAAACAAGTCAAGGTGCTTGGTGATTCCTCAAAGAGCAAAGCTAAAGATAGGGAGGAGAACTAAAAGTCCTGATGTGATATTATTGTGATTGAATCAATATGGTATGAAGAAGGGATCTTAGGGGGAAAATAGGGGTATAACAATACCCACAATGGAAGAGTTCTCTAAGTTACTCAGAGTTCCTATTCTTGATCAAATACCTTTCAGCGGTCTAAAGCAAGCTCCAAAACCAGAAGATATTGCAGCAACCTTACATCTGAAGCGGTCCGATATTGTATCTAATTGGTAAACAAGAAGTTGAGTCAAGGGATTTCTTGCCAAATTTCTGATAGAGAAGGCTCAACTGTTTTTGGATACTATGAGTTTTCAGGCTTTCAAGGATATCTTGGCTCTATTGATCTATGGATTGGTACTATTCCCTAATCTAGACCAATTCATAGATGTGAACACCATCAAAATATTTCTCGCTCATAATCTTGTGCCTACCTTGCTTGGAGATATTTTGCATTCTCTTCACACTCGTACTATGAAGAAGTGAGGAACTCTCATGTGTTGTATACCTCTGCTATCCAGGTGGTTTATTTCTCACCTTTCCCTCTTAGATGCCTCACACTTTGTAGGAAGCATGAGCATGTACCTTTGAACAAGACATTTCTTATATTTGTAACCTCTTTGACACGAATGAATTGGAGCTTGTACTTAAGACAATTATTCACATGTTTCAAGGTACTTCTTTAGTGACTCTAAAAGTTATTGGTCACAAGGAAGCACTTTGCTCCAAGTTATTGTCTAGTCTTAAAAAGGAGGTCGATTTCCACTAACACTCCTTATGACATGGTTGTTAAGGTGACTAGTCTGCTGGGGTCTGCTGGGGTCTCTAGAGGATAAAGAAAATAGCTCAGAAAAAGAAATTTTTCCATCAGAGACGTTATCCTATTAGGCCACTACAGTTGAGGGAGTTTTAAAGGAGAAGAATGCGGCTCACGAAGAGCAAATAGGTGTGTTGAAGAAAGAACACGATGATGTCATTGATAAAGGCCTCAAGGATGGCTATGACACTTTTAAGAATTTCGTCAATCAGGTTGAGGTGTTGTGCCCGGGGGTGTTCAGGTTTCTCAGAAGAGGATGGACCTTGAGAATGGTTGTTTATGATGAGATTGTTAGCGATAATGAAGAGAATGATGGATGATATTTTTTAGTCTTTAGTTTTTTTGAGGATCTTTGTAGTGACTTTGCTTTGACTAGGATTTTTTTTTCTTGATAATTTATTTGCTTTTATTTGTTTGGTGTTTTGTATAGCTTTCTGCATTGTGCCATTTTGAAGACCTTCGACTTTGTTGGATTCCTTATTTTCCTAAAAATTTGTTTCATTGTTTATCCGTCTACAATTTTTTTCATCACATATCCGCCTATGATTTTGTTTCATCGTTTACCCCCTACGATTTTATTTCATCAATTTTTGTTTTTGTGGATTTGTATCATCCTTATCGGTTCCAACATTGGGAACTAGTGTACACTTTAATATCAATGAGTATTATACGCAATCAAAGGTCAATTCCCCTTTCCTCCCCCCATGTTTGATCTTGATTTGAGGTTGGTGTATCATAGGCTTCACCACCTACACTTTGTAGTGGCTAGCTATCAAGAGGGGTATACCATTTATGGTTTAGCACACCATAATCAGCTCGTGCCCTGCTTTCTTTAATAAAAGTTAACATGATTCCAACAAAGAGAATTATATTATTCATATAAAAATATTAAATAAGAGGCTAGGTAATTACAATCTTTTGGAAAACTTCAGAATACTTTGTTAAATATCGCATGAATTTTGTAGTGTTCCACGTCCTTGGAATTGTCTCCCTAGTCAAAGTCCCTAGAGTGTAATCTTCACTTCCCGTGATAGTCTCGATATTGTATGATCATTTCCAATATGTCGCGACTTTCCCATCTCCTAAAAATGATCCTGTAAAATGATCGTTTATTTTGAAAACCTAAAAGCTAACGTTTACAACCTCACTGGAGATGTAAAAACCTAGGGTTGGGAAGAGTTTCTTAATCACCTCAAAGGGCTAGTTTATCCTGAATTGGTTAAGAATTTTTTTATTCATGCTACATAATCAAAATGGAAAATCTCTTTGTATTTTTTGGGAGGAAAATTCTACAATACAGAAAAATATATTGCCAGGCTTCTCAATCATGAAGGAACTGGCAATATATGTTTTGATATGCCCTCCAAAAAGGCAAAGTTGGATGAAATTACCGTTGTGATTTTTCAAGAAGGTAATACTTTTACTAATGCGAAGAATCTTCACAAGAGACTCATAGTGTAGTTAAGGATTCTTCTGGGTTATGTGCATCATAGACCATCAAGCAATTCCGCATATTACATCAACACTGATTAGAAGTACATTTGTTATACATTTATTTTGAGATCAAAATGAATTTGCCTTCAATTATTTTCAAGTATATGAGGGAGTTAGTCAAGGAGACCATAAATGGTGGTGAAAAAAATTAGAAAGTGGATTCCTCTGGGAAGACTAATTTCTGATATGCTTGTTGAAAGCAAGCTAGTGGAAACTCTGTAGAGACTGAACATGACAAAAGAGATCGTCATAGATGTTTGAAAGATCTTCAATAGAAGGAATCTAAAAAATATGTCTTTGATCACAAGAGTTATTGATCCTACTGAGGTTCTGGATAGGGAAGCAATATCTTTAAGAAAGATAGTTATTGACGATTATCCCATATTCATCAAATTGGATCCTCCTGAAATCCTATAATCTTATATTGACGACTGCATAGCTTCAGGTATTGTACCTATAGCCGTATATTATTATAATATTCCAGATGCTCCTCATGAACCCCTTATCAGAAAGAAAAGGAAAGCATCCAAAAGGTTGGTAATGGACCTTCTGGAACTGTTAAGTCTTCAACAAAGGTGGATAAGACTTCTGAATCTATGAGAAGGCCTCTGGGAACTGTACTGGAAACTGAAGCTGAAGGTTCTGAGAACACTGAGAAAGCTGAAGAATCTCCTGCTCAAAATGAACCTTATGGTAAGTCTATTATTGTTGAGACATCTTTGTCTTCTAATTAAGTTGTTAACATTTCATCTTCATTCACTCCCCTTCAACCTACATCACAAAGACCTCCATTTGATACACCTTTTGGGACCATCACTACCCCTTAATCAAAACAATCTTATACTATTAACCCATCTGAACCATCTAATCTACAACTATCTGAAACCATTTTCACTGAACATGTACACAACCATAAATTCTTGAACCACTCTTTTCACAACTCCTAAAAACACAGCCTGAGAATAACCCGTTTGAACTATAACCAACATCTTACATTCATATATCCTTTCACAATGTCATCCCTGAAATTCATACCTTTCACGATTCTACACCTTCACCACCTACACAACCAAATATCATCAGTACACATATCATTGACACTCAAATGGACCATATCTTAAACCATTCCCCCTCTACTGATTCCTCAGATGAACCTATTTCAGTCTCATGTGACTCTAAGATTGAAGCAGAATCTGAAACCACCTAAACCATTTCTTCTGACAAAAACCTTTTTAGGACCCAAGTGAACCTCAACACCCTTCTTGAACATGAACCAAATGTTGATGAATTGTTGTTACAATTTGATTCTAAAGAGAATGTTCGTCTATGTTATCTTATGCAAGTTGGCACAAATTGTGTTAACCCCGATGAGAGTGATGCAATTTGGTATAACTTCATAAGATGGATCAATTTTCCTTCCTGGCAGTTGAGAGAAATTTTCTTTGAAACTGCTCAAAAAATTTCCATGAAAAACTCTATGGAATCATGGAGCCTCTTTTGGAGTTGTTTAAACCAAAATTTATTCCTGCACCAAAAGTTAATCTAACCTTAGTTGTCTCTGAACAAGAGATTCAACATGAAGTTACTCCTCCTCCTAAAAAGCAAGTCATTTCTCAATCTAAGATTGGAACTACTTCTAGAGCTGAGAAGCCTTCTGAATATGACTTCATGCCTCTGGTAGTACTGAAGACTCTGGAAGAACTCAAGCAAAAAAATGAACTTGTTAGATCTTGTCTGGACAAGCAAGATGAAATGTTTCTGGAACAAGCTCAGACCAACACCAAGATTGAAGGCCTGTTTCATGTGATTTTGTCAAGGCTTCCACCCCTACCTAAAACCATTTAAAGTTGTTTTCATATTTAAGTTTTTTTAAAAGGAAACCTAGCTTTTCTTTTTGTTCAATTTATCTGGTTTATCTTTTTATGTCTCTATCTTTATTTGTTCCAATCAAATGAATTTTTGTTTTTCTCTTTTCCATTTTTTTATTAATGACAAAGGGGGAGAAATGTATATATGATATTGATATACTTATATTCCTCTTTAATCCAAAACATTAGACTCTAAAAATTTTTGAATGATCAAGGAACTTTGAAAAAGTTCACTAATTTTACTAATCAGGTAATCTAGAAATTTTTCAAATGTTTATGAACCAGGAATCAGAAAGTCCGAGAGCTATCATGCTCTGATAATCATGCTCAGATCTCTTAAGATTGAACCAGGTTTGGATGATATTTCATCAGACTCTTATGCTTTATCAGGCTCTGATACAAGCTAGGATTTGATACAAGGAATTAGGCAATTTTAATCAGACATTGATACAAGGCTCTAACAGTGAAGTTTTTACTTTCATACTGATTAAAGCGTTTTATGTATAAATTTTTTTCACAAGTCTTAAACTCAGAGGGAGTCTACAAACTTCATTATGAATAAGCTGAGAAAATTTTGATAGTATAAAACTCAGGGGGAGCTTACTAGCCTAGCTTGATAAGTTTTATGTGATTTAACCAAGTAAACATTGTTCATAAAAATATATGGTTTTGTCCTTATCAAAAGGGGGATATTGTAAGAACAAGATTTGGTTCTGCATCTAGCGTTAAGTTTGTATAATAATATACAACTTTATAAAGAACAATTTTGTATCCTAATGGTTTTGTTAAGTGTGTAGATGTAAGCAAACAAGTTATGACTCTGAGAAAGTGACGTGTGACGTCATCATACTCTAAACCTAACACACTCTGACTCAAAAGAGATAACAACACGTGTTTTAGAAATAAATTCAAGCTCTAGATTATTCTACTCAACGCTTATGATCATTGCTCATCCATAAAGTTTCAATTTCTGATTCTGATAGAGAAGTCTCTGACGTTATCAAGCTCTGAATTCTTGTGCTCAACAAACTCTGATGAACTGTGTTTCCAAACTCTGAGTCAAGACTCTGAATAACCAGGTTCTGTAGACTCTTTCATACAAAACTTGATCCCATTATGCATGTTTCATTAACTCTCTTTCTGAAGCCTTTGAATATTAGAAGATAAGATCAAAAGGTTTTACGTGAGAAAATAATACACTGTACAAGACCAATTCTCCTTCCACTACACTAATTTCGTAAGGAAAGGACTATACTATTGTACCATTTTGTCTCCCATTTTCACAAACAATTATGCAAGGATATAGTTATAATTTTGTGGAATTCCATTTTTTCCCTCCACCAGATCTTTCTATTGCCTATTGTTAGCTGGGATTTTTGACAAGAATCAAATTCCAGCATGGCTAAGGGGAAGGTGAGGAAACGATTAGTAAAACTCCAGTGATGGTCAAGAGCAGGGTCGAATACCTGCTAATGATTTTTGACATGAAGGTGGCGAACTAAGACGTCGAAATCTAGCCTAAAGAAAGAGTTATAGAATTGGTAATTTTTTCAAGTAACAAGTGTGGACATTTTGACCAAAGCAGTTGAAATGTACAACGTGGTTGAATAACTGAATTGGCCCTGTCTGTATTAAAAGGACACGTGGATGTGATTTTCGAAGCAAAAGACATGCAATGGAGAATATGGCATTCAACGGAGAAAAGAGCGCCTTTAGCAGTTATTTAGATTTTAAGTTTAAATAGTAGTTCTAATGATAAAATTAAGTGTGTCAAATTTACTACGAAACTCACAAAATTCAGAGTACCAAGCGAAGAGAGAAATGAGTTCAAGAGTGTAATGTACGTTTGATCACCAGTTTACATTTATGCAAAGTTTTTATTTTTGAATTTACATTCCTATTCCTTTCTTTTCATTGTCCAAATCTTTACTTTTTCAATCAAATTTCACTTTAAATTATGTTTATTTTCATAGCGTGATTTCACTTGCGGTCAAAATCATTCATACTTTTTATTCTCTAAGTTTGTTTATAAGTTAATTTAATAAAAAAATCTTAGATCACATGTCATAAATTTTTTTAGGCATATTAGACTAACCTATTTAAATAGTATGAATAATTTTATTATTCTTATTATTATTTTATATTTTAAATTAAAATACAAAAAAAAAATTATTGTCTTGAAGAGTTTATGAAAACATACATATTTTATGAATAATGTCTTAAGTTGTTTATATAAATTTTCTTATTTAATAATCTCATTAAACTTATGTTTGGTAAACTCAAATAAGTCCTTGCAAATAGATCAATCTAAATGAAATAAGTTTTTAAAAAATCTTTGTTATCTTGAAGAGCTTATGAAAATATACATGTTTTATGAACAATATCTTAAGTTGTTTATATAAATTTTCTTATTTAATAATCTCATCAAATTTATGTTTGGTAAACTCAAATAAATCTATGCAAATAGATCAAGTACTTGGGCTTTTATGGTAAAGGAGCTCATGAAAAGGACAATATTTCAATAATACTGAATTTGATTCTTAACATGAATAACATTTAACCAGTGTTTATACCTTAGTTCACGAGCTCTAAATTAATATGTTTTTTTCCTATAAACTAGAACGTGAAAAATAAAATAAAATAAATTTTTAAATAGACTAATAAATATATTGAGTCTTTGAATATACCAAACTCAAGACTAAAAATAAACACAAACCATAAATCACTCTTAAACTTTACAAAACTTAACTTGGTCAAACCTATTAATTATTATTTTTATAATATTTATTCTCTTTTAACACTTAGAAATTATGATACATGTTAGGTCTATTCTATTATGATAACATTTTTCTTTGTGAATATAGTGTAGGCTAATGTAAGAAAATTTTCAAAGATTCAACACTATAAAATTGAATCAATTCATTGAGTAGTTCAATTTTAATCAAGAATAGATATTATATGTAAATTTAATATTCAGTTTATCATAAATTCGTCCATAGTAGCTCACCTGGCAAAATCCCATTTTAAGATTAATTAGGCCGGGTTCGAATCCCGGCTGTGAAATATAACATTTTACAATTTTTTGATTCGAGAGAGAAAGAAACAGCAAAAGCAAAAGATATTGTCGACCACAGTGGGAGTCGAACCCACGACCTTTTGATCCGAAGTCAAACGCGCTAATCCACTGCGCTATGCGGTCTTGTTGTTATTGGGTTCTATTAAAATTCTTAAATAAAAATCTAAAACGAAACGTTTCTTTGATACCACCTCTGAATCTAATAGAGTGAACTAAGCCCATTACCAACCTATAAGGCCATGTCCACAGACAAAATTCTACTAATGAAAAGGTTTTGTATCTACTATTTTTAAAATTAAAATAATTATATTTTTAAAACATTTTAATTAAATGATTTTAATATTAATTTAAAAATAAATATTAAACTAAATTGATTGTATTAATTTAAAGAATAATTTTATATTAAAATGCATAAAATATAAACAAAATTTAGGTATTAATATAGTTAATGAAAAGCATCATATGAAAATCTTGTGAGGCTTTAATATCTGTTGACCCAACCCAGATAAGCACAACTCATTCAATTGGAAAGACTCTTGTTAATGAGGATCAAACAAATATTTTAAATCTAAATGGACAAAGATAGCTTTTTTTTTTTTTTTTTTTTTTTAATTTCTTAACTCAGTTTTCTAGCATATTATATAAAAATATTAAAATATTTTTAAAAATTAAAAATATATTTTTGAGACACACGTACACATATATAATTTAATCGATTTTAAAATACACCTTAATTTTACATTTAAATTTATTTCGAAATATATTTTTGATTCTTATTTTTTTTTTTCACATGGCAGAAGAGTTACATTTTCTTCTCATAATCAAACATATTCAAAAGTAGTTTAATGGTCAGAAATTTAAATAATATACATAATGATGTCTTAGTTTAATTTTTATTGTCTTCGATATATATAATTTCTATAAAAAATTGTCTTCATAATAAAGTGGAAAAAACACACATGGATGAAGAATTTTCTTAGTTTTAAATTTTATTCTCTCTATTATAAAACTTTTCACAAAATAAGTCTCTTCATAATAAAGTGGAAAAAACTCACATGGCAGAAGAGTTTTTATTTTTAACAAAAAAAAGTTGCTCTTTATCAATAAGTTAAAAATACCAACTCATTTTATGTTAAAGTTAATATATTATTTATTCCCACGACAAAATGAAAACATCGTAATTTAATAAGAACAGAAAATATATTTTTGAGAAATTTCAAAAATATATTTTTAAAACGATTGAATTATATATATAGGTGAATGTGTTTCAAAAATATATTTTTGAAAATTTAAAATATATATTTTTTTTTTCATAGAATTCTCGGTTTAGTGCCACCAATTTTTTTAAAGAATATCGTCTAAGACCAATCTCTCGATTTAGTGCCACCAATTTTTGTTTCCAGCCCTTTCAAAAAAAAAATTTAGTAGAAAGAGTTTGGGTTCTATTATTTTCAAAAATTACAATTAGTACAAAAAGTTAAATTTATATTGTCAATACTAATTAAATTGATTGACTATATTATTATTTTAATAACAAAATATTAACTAAGTTGAAATGATAAGTTATTTTATAATACTTATTTATATTTATTTATTAATGTAAATAAATTTTTGATATTTATAAATTAATAATTTAAAAATATATATATTTTATAGTAAACACTTATTTGGAGCATACAAATAAAAATGAGCAACTTGAAGGAATTTCAGTTTTTCTCTAATCAATTTTAGAAAAATAGTAACTTCGTATTTGTTAATCATTGAATCGAGTTAATTTTCGAACATAAAGTTCGTGACACACAATGTTACAATTTCGTCTTTTGGATCGTCATAAAAAACCACGTGGAAGGAGATACCGTGCTTGCACGACACCAAGATTTGCAGGGATGCTTTGCTAAGGT